GGCTTAATTTTGTCCCTCACAGTTGGCTTGGAAGAGGAGGGCTCCTTCAAGGCACTGAATAGCTTTGTGGCAGCAGCCCATGCAGCAACAACACAGCCCCAAACAGTAGTGGAACAGATGGAACAGGGTCTGGTGGTTTCACAGTTCAGAACTCGTGTGGCAACAATTGGGCCTGGCTATTCCATGGGTTGTCCAGAAATTGAGTTTCTAAACTGCTTTAGCAGGCGAATTCACAAAACACTGAGTTCAATCTGGTTTGAAACCCTTAAAAAACAAGGTATTACATTTAGCTCTTCTGAATTGTAGGCAGGGTGCAATCTGATTCAACCAGCCAACATAGACTCTTCTCTGGACGGGTTTTTGGTTGGTACGACGTAGCCCACTTGTCTTGCCTCACAGAATCCGCAGGTCACTGGTTAAAGAGACTGTTTAGATGGAGTCAGATGCTTTAGTAAACTCTGTCGCAGGGATGTGGCATCAGGGGGTATCGCTCTTGCTTACATCACTGAAAGTTGATCCACAAAGTAAATTATAGTACAATAACTCATTTAATAAAAACGGTTTCTGTGCAGCCAGCTTTGACAAAAGCACTGATAATTTAGATTCAGATATAAAGTAAACTAGTTAATCGTTTATTTGTTAGGAAGCGAATGTAAGCTTAAACACAAGCTGCTAAATTAGGAAATGAATTAAGATTTGAAAGCATTTAAAAAGGTTTACTATTAACCTAAGGCTACAGGATCTATAAGTGACCTAAGATATATTACGGACACCGTTAAAAATATATTTCTATTTTAGATGAGTAAGCAGGATTTACAGCTTACTATCTGAAGATCAGTAAGACAATACCTACATCTAAAATAATCTTTGAAAGGAAGTGGTGGGTGGAGCTGAGAGCATGCAGCCAGATCCAGCAAACTCAAACAGCACATGTCAAAAACAAGCATGCAGTCAAAATGTAGGGGGAGCACTGCAAACTGTCTTGTTGTTATTTTTAATAATTCTAAAGTGGGCATTGTGTTTCTCTTTTCTGAGAAGACAATTTTTTTTATCATTAATCATTATCTTGATTTAGACGTGTGAGTGAGGGCATTTGACAGCAGAGCGAGGCTGGAAGTTATGAAGTTATGTAATGAGGATGAGGATTTTTCAAATTCCTTGTCATCAGAGTTTGATGGAGGTGTTGTGGAACCTGGTGGGCCAGAGCCTTATTAGTCTGAGCTGCTGGCTCAAGGGGCTGACTGAGCAATGCTGGAAGCCACAACTGCTTAGCCAGTGAATGACAGAATGACTAACCACCAAGATATATCTCTGAGTGAGATAGTTTCATGCATGAACCCATAGCTATGACAACATTTGCATGTACCAGTCACATATGTCCGTACTGTCCAACAATAGGAAATTTTATTTGCAATAGCTCCTGTTCAACATAGAGTAGCAGAGAAAGCATTTCATAGACAACTATAGGCATATATCCAATTAAATATTGCCTGCGGCACTACAAACTATTCATTGGCTCTAAAATATTAGGCAAAACTATACGAGGTATGCATTCCAAAAACGTAAAAAAACAATCCTTTGTTTCCAAGTTCGAAACTTTCAAACTTGGAGAGGAAAATCTCCCTTTTAACAAGAAGAAACCTCCAGCAGAACCAGGCTCAGTGTGATCGGCCATCCGTCTAGGCCGACTTGGGTTCAAGGAGACAGAAGCAGAGATACAGGAAGAAAGCAGAGATACAAAACGCAACTGTAAATCATCTCTACAGGCGGCCCAGACAAGCTCCGAGCCAGCTCCCATGTCAGAGGATGAAAGGGAGTAAATACAGTAATATTCTGCATTTTTAAGGGAAGTTTTAAGTTTAACAAAGAAAAAAATAAATTGCAAGGGTAAAGATCCTCAGTCCAGCTTGAGAAAGTAAAGTTGCTTTTCATTCAGCATGTTTTATCATGTCTTAATCTTTTAATACCAACTGTATCAAATTTGATACATACATTTTTAGGACCACTACACATTAGTGGTGATAGTTTTTGTGGTCACCAACCTGTGTTTCCGCTCTCCAGAGTTTCCTTTCTTCCATCCATCCATCCATCCATCCATCCATCCATCCATCCATCCATTATCTTACATGCTTGTCCTGAGTGGGGTCGCGAGGGGTGCTGGTGCCTATCTCCAGCAATCAATGGGCGAGAGGCGGGGTACACCCTGGACAGGTCGCCAGTCTATCGCAGGACAACATCGCAGGGCAAGAGTGTCCTTCCTCAGATGCCTTAACCGCTGCTACTCTGATCCATCATTGTTTCAGTGGAAGCTATTTGAAGCTATCCCACTCTCTCTCTTTCCTGAATACCCTGTGTTCTGAGTTGTGACATAATCGGGCAAAAGAGGAATCTTTCTCTGCAGATAAAGCTTTTGTTTTCTCCAAATATTGTTATAAGCATACTCCCAAGATGCCTGGAGTGCCTAACATCCTGTTATTTTAACTGCTCTTCAATCCAACTAAAAAAACGACCCTGCTTCTAAGAATCTGAATCAGAAATACTTTTTTGTCAGACACATTACAAGATTAAAGCCCATCAATATCAGTGAAAAAACTGAATTGAAAAATATTGAATATTAAAAATATGTGAAACAGTGTAAACACGAGGAGATCTGTACTAGTGTACAGTCTTAAACATTTCTTTAAATTTTGTCAGAAATAAATATAATATATGTAGAATAAAGATAAATGTGTATGAGTATATTGCCCATCAGAGGTTGGAATGTTGCACATGCTTTGGGATTGTATTAGGTAAATATCAGTGCATGTCAGAGTTCAGAATTTCTTAAGGTTTTAGGAAAAAATTGGTCTTTTTGTGCTTGTCCTAATGTTTCTGTAGTGCCTAACTGAGGCCAAACAGAACAGTTCCATGATGGGAGCTCTGAAAGATTTGGCTCTGCTGAGGCAGAGGGAGGTATAATGGAGTGGAAATGGCAGCTATTACCTTCTTTGCTGCCTTCAAATCTCTCTGCAGTTTTTCCCTGTCAGGACAGGAGTCTTCTGTTAATTTTTTAGAGAAACTTTGGGCTTTTGTTTTTAAAATTTTCTTCTCTAATTATGTAATTGTACTCTAAGCTTTAGTCTTGAATTGGAGAAAAATTTATAGGGCAGATTTTTACACTAAGAATATCTAAAAAAGGCTAAATTGATAATTATTCTAAGGGACAATCTGGAGCTACAAGCTGAGGAGCCACCAGGAAATGCATGTTTGGTCTCTATTAAGCTGCATAAGCTGTAGCTGTTTTAATTGTTTTTTGACATTTCTTCCATAGCCTTTGATTCTCCCAAAACGGTGCACTGGTTTGCATTTGTATGGGCCTGATTTTCATTCATTATTCACTAAGCCTGTATTGATCAGAGTGTTTGCCGGGAATGTGCTGCATTGCTGAGTGCCCTGATTAAAGTATACTTCAGCATACCAAAGAAAAAAGTTTATTCTGACCAGAGGAAAATAATATCTGATGAAAATCACTTCAGGGAGTAAAGTTTCCTGTAGAAAAATCCACCTCATTATTTAATCTTCTTTAAAAGGTCTGTAGGCCTACTTATTTTCACACTTGCTGAATATCAACCACTTTTTCTTCTTTACCGACCAGTAGGGCTGGGCGATAGGACGATACATATCGTACGGACGATAGAAAAGCGTCTATAGTGCTAATTCTATTCAGTCGTTTATAACACAATTTTATCTCGTATTCAAGCAAATATTTCCCATGGTAGACTACGACGAACGTATTAGTGTAGCCACGTAGCCTACACACAGCTTATAAATGATAAACAAGATTTTTTTTTGATTCCACAAAGAAGCGCCGTCCTGTGGTTTTGCAACATGACGCTTCTTTACGGCTTTTGACTCACATGCGGGTTTGTGACATGCTTTACGTTACTTAACTCATGAGAGATCGGGAAACAGGAGGCTGAAGTATTAAACCCATGGACGAAACAAACAGAGACAGCTACACAGGCAACCCAAGATGAAACACTTTTACCAAAAAGAGGGCACACGCCTGTGATTATGTGACATTTGGGATTTAAGAAGTCCGACGCGATGCAGACAACGGTCATTTGCAAACTATGCTACAAGACTGTTCCCTCACCCCACGGCAACACCACAAACCTCTTCTATCACCTAAAGAAGAACCACAAAAAGAATACATAAGGGTCCAAAAAGTGTGAGTTAAAGCAAGTTGTAAAACAGCGGGAGGAAGTTGGAAAAATAAATAAATAATTCGACAGAAACGAGAAAAGATTTCTACATTACAATGTATCCTTTTTGTTTGCACTTTTTAGATGTATGATACCTTAAACAGTTTACAGTTATATTCAACCCTGATTTATTTAATTTTCATCATTTATTTTGCTATTATGGTATGCAATCTTTGCACTACAAGGTTACGGATTTCAGAAACGTGAAAAACTATTTATTTTTGTAACTATCTTGTTCAAAAATGTGTGCTTTTCTACTCAGAAACTTAAGAAACTAAACATTAGTGCACTTTAATTTATTTATTTGGGTAATTTAATTTAAATGCCTGTAGGATTTTGAAAAAATTTGAAGGATATTGTAGCCTACCTCCTCCTCTTCTTATGCGCATATATTGCTGCACTACAATTTATTTTTCTAATTTGTGACAGTTCTATAAATGTCACTTCAAAATAAAGTTGAAAAAGTAAGCAATTATATCGTTTTGTCATATTTTTCAGAGATTCAGGCATATTGCAATATATATCGTTATTGTGATATAAAATATCACAATAACATATATATGGTTTTTTTCTATATTGCCCAGCACTACCGACCAGTGAGGATATTGTCCTGCCACATGATAAATCAAAAAGCAGCTGTTTTATCTAATATATATCTAACCAGGGCATTTCGTCCCTGAAGGAGGGTGCTGTGCACTCCTCCTCTTGCCCATAGAGGGAAGACCTTGTGACAGAGCGCAGCTGGTTTGTCAGTGAGAAAGGTAATCAGCATTTACATTTAAAAGCGGGTAGATTCCTGAGGAGATCAGATCCCAGGCTGATGATTCCCACAGAGGTATGTTTGACATCAAGTGTGAGTTGGGTTTAGAACTATTGCTGATTCATCCTCTTGATTATTGTAGGTAACACATTTCTAGAGAGTGAAGTATAGATCACCATTGACTGGTTTCACTTTACGGAAGGAAGAGGCAGTTACTTATTACCTGGCTACTTAAGTTGCTCGTCTAACTTGATCTCTTTTGTGTGTAGGTTGGTCTGCTACTGTCTTGTTTAGTTGGTGTTAGGGTCCTTCTTAAAAACTGCCTGACGAACCAGATGTTTAGGAACATTTTAAGAAATTTATAAGTAATTTACAAGAAATTAGTGTTTCAAATGACTCATGCCTAACTGGCCTTAAACAGAAGGCAATTTGATTTTTTTTTCTTTTCTTTTGGTTGAATCTCCTTAAGTTTTTTTTTTTTTTTTTTTGTCGTTGTTAAAAATCACCATTCTAATGTAGACTACTTTGTGGTTTGAAAAAGGCTGCACATATTGTAGTTCATTTCAAGCTAAGCTGTGAATGTTTTCTTTCTTTTATTCATTGCACTTCCCTTTCCTTGACTATGACTGACTGTTTCAAACTAACTCAAAGATGCAGTAAAAATGGGGGTATAGGAGAATTTGATATCAAGGTTTTTATGTGCTGTTTACCATTGTAAGTTTTCAAAGTGTACCATTGTAGACTTTGTTTTATTTTACATTGAAATAACAATCTTTTAAGCAGTAAACTGTGTTTTTATTGTGTGTGTTTGTTGTACACATCTGTATCACCAACATGGAACAGAATTGGAAGGTATTTGATGCTCTGCTATATTTGGCCCAGAGAGAGCATTTACTTTTGCCTGTCAGAGGGACACTTGCTTGGTTAAAAAACCTGGAGTCTTGATTATTGGAAATGATCGTTGTGGAATGAAATAAGCTAACATGAAAATGTAAAAACTTGTACAGTAACATTAATGTAGCACCATTTGGGTCGAGTTAATGTTAATCTGCATAGTTAATCTACAAGCAAAAATATTCACTTCCTTTTTTTCTATATTAACAGAAAACTTTCTTTTGACAGAGACACATGCAAGACGAGACAAGTTTATTTATATAACACATACCATTAGCAAGATCCTTCAGAGTGCTTTAAATGAAAGAAGTATATTACAGTCGCAGGAAGGCACTTTGATGAGCATGTGGCTCCTATCTTTCCACAGAGACAAAGGCAGTTCTAGGTAACCTCCTGGGACCTGGGCAGCCAGGTAACCGGTGGGAACCTGGCAACATGGCCGCAGTTAATCCGTGTTGATTCTGGTTCTGAGTATGCAGAACAGACTTTAGCCAGAAGACCTGAGAGGTCTGGGTGGCTGACACACTGATAACAAGTCTAACGTATTTTGGTGATAAGTTATTCAGTGATTTACAGACTAATAGTCCAAAAAGATTTTAAAGTATAGCCTGTTCTCTGAGATACAGTATGACAAACTAGTCTAATGGAGCGTAGGTGGAACTTCAACTGAAGAAACTCATTGCTTTCCTTCATCCAGCTGCGACAGGGCCAATCAGCTTTGAACCACACCTCCACGAAAGCCAATCAGCATCCAAAGTTCATCTTAAAGGCCTCCGATACGCACCTGTCTGCTCCTGTGTGCGGGCGGCGGATGCGCTGTGTGACTTCATTCAGAGGACACAGTTTCAACCCACCTCCATCCCCTCCTTCACCTTCATAGCTAAGCTTCATTAGAGTGTCATTCCTGTTGGACTCTTACTGCGTTTCATGTCTCATCTTAACCGGTCCGGAAGAAGACCGCCATGTTGAGCCTGGTTCTGCCAGAGATTTCTTCCCAACGGGGAGTTTTTCCTCTCCACTGTCGCTCAATGCTTGCTTATCATGGACAGGTTCTCTCAACCTATATTATCCAACTGGACTTCCATCTTCCAGGTCTCTCAGTGAAGCTCTAGTATCAGCTCATGCAATCCACTGGATCTCCCCATAAGTTCAGCATAACGTCCCGCTAACCAGCAGTCTACAGACTGACCAACTTCATCTATCTCCACTCCACCACCAGTTTCAGGCCTGGGGATAAACAGCCCTATTCTTTGCTCCTGTTCATATATATCTATCAAAATGAAGCACTATTTTTTCCTGCCAAGATCTGAGCGCCAAAGACAAAGAAATTGTATCAATAAATTTTTCCTAATTGTCTTTTCTCTTTGTGTGAGTTTTTCAGATTGTAATGACTTTAGAACTGGGCTGAAGTTGCTCCGCTTTCTTAGTTTCCGGGCAATAGTATTCTGGATCAATTTCAACTGTCTGATTGATTTTTCAGACATACCTGTAAAGACACAGTTTGAGTAATCAAGTGTAAGATAAAATAATGAGTTTGTTTGATAAGGTCCTGCTGAGATATTATACAGAGTCATTTAATCCTGCAGATGCTTTTAGGTTATAGCAGGGCAACTTTTTTTCTGGCTTTATTTGCCTGAAGTTTAAGGTCCATGCCCATACCTAGATTTCAAGGCTAATTGGGGTTTTCTGGCGCTGTTAACTGAAGATGTGTTCTTACTGTTAAAACAATGTCTGAACAACGGTTTAGACTTTTTTTTTGTCTTTGTTATGAATCACCTAAAGAAAACTGGCTCATCCATGTGGATATTTCTTTATGTGCTTGAATGCGTTCACAGTCACCAGAGAATATCGTGATGTATAGCTGTCCAAGATTTTGAAAAGCTACACACGTGCAAGGCGGGGAGAAAAAAACGAAGAAAAACTCCATCTGATTCTTTATGATAGACTTACTAATGAAGTTTTATAAACAAAAGAAAGAGTGGCATCTTGTAGGCGTGCTATCGATGCCCTTTGTAATGTGTTTGTCTCTACCGTTTCTGCTACTGCTGTTGTACTTGAGCAAAATGGTACAGCACATGAGAACTACTTAACTGTTAGATATTTTCATTGTCATCAGGTCTACCTTTCTTTTTTGTTTTTATTTATCAACTCCTTTATTCTGACTTCAGACATGCTATTGCAAGGCTTAAAAATCTTGCTTGGAGGCTATGAAGGATGATTTAACACTGACCTTGGGTAGGCTCAAATCAATGGAGAAGTGGGTGGATGAACTGGAGGAATGCACTGAAGGCTTGGGAAACAGGAAGGACAACAAATATTTTCATTGTTTGGCTCCCGGAGGCTGCTGAGGGAAACGATCACATCTGTTTTTTTGAGTCTTGATTATCTGAACTTTGCAATATCAAAGCTAAAGCGGGGCATGTTGAGCTGGACAGAGCAATACCGTATTACATCTGAGACACCACTCTGGCCGTTATGGCCAGAGATCATTTTCTACGATGGTGCGGTTCCATAACATCCAAGACAGCTATTTTTCATTTAAGGAATACAAATTGATAAAAAAAAAATGTGAGTTTTAATGAGACATCCTGTAGAGCAATTAATAATCTGTTTTGTTTCTTTTTATCAACAGGGGTATTTTGATATTAAAAGGATGAAACATTGCCCCTGGAAGCCGGGACTTCTCTTCTGCATCATCTGTCTTTTTTCTTTATGTCTTCAAAATGGATGGCCTGAAGCAAGTAATCGCAACTACTGGAGAGGCAAAGGAAATGTGACTGTCCTGCTTTGGCACTGGCCTTATGGACATCCTTATAGTCTGGAGGGTGATGTATGCTGGGATTTCTACAAAATAGCAGACTGTAAACTGGTGGACCAGCGCTCTTTTTTCCCCTCAGCCAACGTTGTTGTGTTCCACAACAGAGAACTGAAAGATGGTACCCAGAAACTTCCCACCGAGCTCCAACGGCCTCAGGGCCAGAGATGGGCCTGGATGTCCCTGGAATCTCCTGCTCACAACGGAAACCTACAGAAGTTTGCAAATATCTTCAATTTGACAATATCCTATAGAAGGGATGCTGATGTGAGCATACCATATGGTGAACTGCTACCTTCGGAGTCGGGAGGTACCCTGGTGAATGACAGTCACATAAATAAGACCTCTTTGGTCTGTTGGGTGGTCAGCAACTACATGAACCACTACAAACGGACACAAGTGTATAAAGAGCTCAGCGCCACAGTTCCTGTAAACGTTTATGGCCGTTGGAATAAAAAGCTCCTCTCCTCTGCAGACCTCTTACCAACAATCTCTCGCTGCTACTTTTATCTGGCTTTTGAGAACTCACAGGCAAAGGATTATATCACGGAGAAGCTTTGGTATAATGCTTTCAAAGGAGGAGCTGTACCTGTTGTACTGGGACCCCCCATAAGTGACTACAAAGCTGTGGCTCCAGATCATTCTTTTATCCACGTTGATGACTTTGCATCAGTGCAAGAACTAGGAAAGCATCTTCAAAGACTTGCAAAGGACAGAAAGCGATATGAGGAATATTTTAAGTGGAAACAAAACCAGAGAGTTAAAGTCTATAGAGACTGGAGGGAAAGGCTTTGCAAGATCTGTTTACAGTACAACTATTTACCTCAGCATAAAATTTATTCAGATTTAGAGGCCTGGGATAAAGCTTATTCATAACTATGAGAAACTGTGGCTGTATTTGACATTTTTACAGCAGCTATTGCTTCCAAGTTCGCACTCTACCAAAAGGGTAAATGAAAAGTGAGAACAGTTTACCACTGAATAAATAAAAAAATTAAAAAATTAAAAATAAAAACTTTAAATGCTGTTAATGTTCACAAGTGATGAGGAGGTATTTATGTTGTTTCCTTAGCATGGATATTTATTAGGGCAAAACAAATCAGCAAAAAACCAAATCAAAATATATGATAAGAAGAACTAACTGGAACTTTAAATAAAAATAAAATCTTGTTTGCATCAACTGAAGACTAATCACTATTAATTAGCAAATGGGTAAAAATTACACCAATATAAACTTACCCACAAACCTATCTGTGAAAAGGTCATAAATAATTAGCCTTTCTGGATTCTACTCATTCCAAGTTCCACTTGTCCCTTTGATACTAAATATTTTCAAATGTTTTCCATAGTTATGTTAGGCTGTATATAACCCAAATCAATGGTATAAATTATCTATATCATGCTTTTTTAAGACTGTCAAAGTCACCTCTAGTTAAATATATTTAAAAAATTACTCCTTTAGAAATATGTGGGTAATAATTTCTTTTGTTTAACTTTAAACTGGAGATCATTGAAGCCCGACTCACATCAGATGGTTGAAGCAAAAACTGATTTGAATAATAATAAAAAATAAAGTTTATATTTATTCTTTTATATTTGTTAAACATATATTTAAATTCTTTACTTTTTTAACTGGATTTCTAGAACATTTTTTTAATTTCTTGATGAACATTGCATCTGTACTATTTGACTAAAATGGGGACTGGATTTGAATTGTGTCACTCTCTAAGTTAAATTAAAATGTATGGCTTATAACCCTGTTACGTGTCACTTCCATTACACATTGTGTAGAAGCCAGTAGAGTCCAAACATTTAATTTTTAACATCTGTTATCATGCTATATATATATATATATATATATATATATATATATATATATATATATATATATATATATATATATATATATATATATATATATAATACAATTATTGTTGCAAAACATAAATAACAAAGACCTGTTAAAATGTGTGAAAGAGCTCCACCCAGTGGACTTCTGTGGTAATTACTGGAAACTTCCTGAAGCAAACCGAAAAAAAAAAATTATTTCTACTAAGAGGGATTAAATAAACAAACACACAAAATTTTTCAAGGCACAAAGAATAATACTATCCAGTGGGAAATAATTGATGTCCTGCTATATCTATATATGTCGGGATGTTGCTTGTATAAAATGTTCAATTCACTAAATTTAGTTGATCATAAAAAAAAATCATATCATAGAAATTAATTTTGAAAGTTTTGTGGAATTAGCTTTTGGAAGAATTATAAATTCAGATTAATCTTAAAATAAAATCCTCTTAATCCTAAACACAGGACAACATTCAGTGAAAGGATTGCTTGGAATCTGGTGCATAGATGTTATTATTTAGAAACTTTTAAAACTATACTGTGTTCTGTTAATCACAGAAAAAATATTTAACACGTTTTATTTTCTATATTTGAAGAATAATTGGAAAGAAAAAGAAAAAAATAGGGAAATGATTGTTGGAGAAAGCTTAATTCGGAGTACCTAATAAAATATGTGAACGAGCTCCACCCAGTGGACTTCTGTGGTAATTACCAGAAACTTCCTGAAGCCTCTGGAGCGCCGCCTGCTAGAATATAAAGCTGAGACAGTTCCACTGACTGACAGAAAGAAACACAAGCAACACAGGAGAGAAGAGAAACCTGAAAAGAAGTTAATCTCAAAACAAGAACACTCAAAGCAAACAGGAGAAAATGCTGTGCTCTCATGGATTACCATCTGCCCTCAGTCCTTTCATGGACTTCTCCTGGCCTGTACGCAGCCTATGGCCAGAGGTCAGACCTCTGCTCTACCAGCAGGATCTCCTTCAACCAAACCTCCAGGATCTATGCAACAGTCTGCAGCTGATGGACAAACTTCAACACCAGATCCTGAAGGACACAGAGCCTTTCAGGAGCAGCGTGGCTCTGCAGCCAGTCTCCTACCAGCTGGACAAAGAGGGAGAGCACTTTGGCCTCACCCTGGATACTCAAGGCTTTTCTCCAGAAGAGCTGTCAGTCAGGCAGGTGGGCAGGAAGCTGAGAGTCAGTGGGAAGACAGAGAAGAAAGAAGAAAATGGGAAAGGCTCCTACTCTTACAGACTGCAGGAGTTCAGACAGGAGTTTGATCTGCCTGAAGGGGTGAATCCTGATAACGTCAACTGCTACCTTTCTCCAGATGGCAAGCTCCACATCCAGGCAGCTAAAGTTCCTTGTGTGGAGCCAGCTGAGAGAGAGCTGACTATCAAGAGGATCTCAGAGGAGGAAACACAGCAGAGTGTGTGTTCACCAGCAGAAGACAACCAATCAGAGACAGACAACTGATTATAGAACAAACCTGCAAACAAGGACTGACAAACATGTTGATGAGCCAATAGAATGATTATTCATTTCTTTATTAACTTATGGCCTTATGGAGATAAATTGCACTGCATGAAAAGTGGGATTTTCGTCAATATGCGGCACTGTAGATTGTCGTGGAACTTCAGGTTAGCGGCAGTTTACAACAATTTGCAGGCTTCGCCGAAAACTCCCGTAAATTGTCAGAAATTGACATGGACTTTCTTAGGCAGTGTTCCCCCCATGCCTCCCCCCCATGGAATTCTAGGGGAGGCTTTAACATGTAAATGAACATGCTGTGAGCTATACCAATGCAAATCAGGGTTGCAGGGGGGGTTTTACTCCAAGTGACATTTTTCTAAAAGGTAAGAAAATCTCTGATACAAAGAGATCAGGCTCAGTATAGCCTCTTACATTTTAGCTTGAATTGATTTATTTAATTAAAGTATAGAGACCAAAACAGATCTTTAGCTGACAGAGCAATACATTTAGAGCAGTAATTATAAAAAAAAATAATAATAATTGCATTTAAGATAAAAAATAAAATGTTGTCTGTCAATATGCTCAATTCACAATAACCTAAGTGGAAAAGTTTCAAGAAATGAGTCTGAGATGATTCACTTTATAACATGGCGCATTATCCTGTTGGAAGTAGCCATCAGAAGATTGGTACACTGTGGTCATAAGGTCCGGCCAGGTCAAGATCCGCAATTGCAATCGCACCAAACAGGAAAAGGAACATCGACAAATTCCGGTTCGTCAAATTAAAATATAGCAGCAACAGATCGGTGACTAGAAATTATAGCACATTTCTTATATATATATATATAAAAAAAAAAAAAAACTAACACCGTTTATTTAAATGATTGGATCCAAACTATTGGTTATTCACCAATGAGGAAGCAGATTTCTCATCTCCATCAAAATATTTATTTTATACCGAGGGACTTAAACTTTAATCAAATCCATTCAAAAGAAACTTCTTATTACAGGAATGAAAAGAGATGTTTGGGAGAAGAGAACAAGTTCATTCAAAAAAAGCAGTTTTGAATTATCCTTATCCCCGTTACAAAAATCTACAAAAATATAAATATATATTTAAGCGCTCACAGGGTTCATACAGGAATGAGTGACTCTAATTTAATGCTATTTGAAATGATTTTAATGCCATCAACAAGAACCATGTACACAAGTTATTAGTGTACATGAAATATGAAGGAGCTGTAAGCAGAGTTCCATGACTCCTGTATGTATGTAAACACACACACACACACATATATACGTATATATATATATATATATATCCTCTAGCTTTTTCTCCGCCTGGAGGGACATAATATATCTGACGAAATTGTTTTTATAAGCATTTTTTTATTAAAGAATTATAAATACTTCGATAAACATATTTAAATAATTTTAGTGCCAATTAAGGCCTTGATTTAAAAAAAAAAAAGAATAATTTTTTTAATTAAAACCCTGGTTCATCTCGCGCATGCTCTTTACGATCTCCAAGAAACTCATAGCGGCGCGGTCTCCAGCCACAGTGGAGGATGTATGCTTTGCTTTGTGCAGGCGGTCTGGAGCGTCTGGATTTCGGGGTAAAACTCCTCTTGGACGCGATTGCGACTCTGCATCGAACAAGACGAACTCAAAGAAGAGATGCTAGCGGTAAATATATGTTCGATTACTGCCTGCTAGGCTAAAAGCAGCCTAGCCTAAGCTACGGCTAATAGCAGCCTAGCCTAAAGCTACTGCTAACAGTAGCCTTGCTAGAACAAGCTTTATTAAAGTGTTTATTTATCTACCCGGCAAACGGGTAGATAAATAAGGATCTCACCGAATTTTGGAAGCTGCATCTCGTTCGTTACATTCGCCATCGTCCCTCTCATTGTCTGCACCTGCGCTTGGGTTCAGAAGCCTGTTAAAGTGCATTATTTTCAGAGCCCATAGACCATAAAGTTCCGAGACGCTGATTGGCCATTAAATTCACCTAGCAATAGTACATGATTGACAGATTCTCTGCAAATGTGGGGCTGTCTGATCACAGCCCCCAGAACAGAGACGGTAGGAGTCTGTCTGTGGAAATCCACAAATTAATGACAGTAGATAGGGAAATGTAGTTTATATAATTTGTTTTGCTTATAGGTACACAGTCTAGAGAGTAAAACTGACATTTATGAGTTAATTTCTAAAAATATATTTTACGTTTCTCTCTTCTTATCAGGGAGGGCGGTGCCCCAGCACCCCCTATGGGCCGGCCGCCACTGCAACTCGGAGACTAATTGCAGGCGCTATGAACCGCAGCAAGGGTAAGATTTAAAGAATATGCTTTCATTCTGCGGTAAAAGGCAATGGATACGGATAGATACCGATCATAGCTTTACATTTTGTTTTCACAGACTACTGTCGCCTCACAATGAGGCGGTGACCTCCTATTTGCTCAGAGCCATATCAGCAAGTCCAGATTTGCACGATGTTGATAAAGACAACATTGTGTGTAAGTGACTTGTTTTAATGTTTTCTCCTTCCTTGTTACTGTGACTTGCGTTTGATTTTTTATTTATACCACTCTCATTTAATTGTTTTCCAGCTGCCTGTAAGACGTATTTTCAGACGGTACGCAGGAGCTTCAGATATACGCAGCCAGCCAACACGCTGCGTGCGGAGGCAATCTGCTCGGAGTCGGGCCAGAAGAAAGAGGGTAAGACTTTATTTGGTGACTATTTTTCAGGTGCATTAATAGATGTGTTGTGTCCATACGCAGTGCGCTGATTCATTGTTTTTTTTTTCAGCTGCTGAAAGCGAGGCAGAGTGTGCTGGCAGATGAGGAAGTGGAACTCTGGAAGTCCGCCGTCATCTGCGGTGTCTCTGGATGGATTGTACGGTCGCCGCCATTTCGTAGGCCGGATCTCACTGAACTCTGTGTTAAGCTGCAGTCCCGGTTAGAAGCGATGCCGAAGTACAGGGCCACGCACAGTAGGCGTCTGCACATCAGACCTGCCTCGGAGGGAATGCTGCCAGTTACCTCCAACCCCGAGGAAGCAAACGGACCGTTCACGGACTTTTAATTTTTAGAAACGCATGTGTTTGGATACGCGTTGTATATAGTTGTGTGTGTTTTAATAAAACTCTTTCTTTGCATAAACAGCTTCCTGGCAAATGTTCATTTCCTGTATAAATTCATTCATGTCCTTGATGGTAGCATAATAATTGTGTAGTAGTGTAGGATAACATAAATACACACCATATGAATGAATAAATATATGAATGAATAAATATATATATATATGAATAAATATATATATGTAAATTTATATGTAAATATATATATATGCCAACCAATCACGAGCGACTTTACTTGTTTAAAAAGAAGTGGTTCCGTCCAATACTCAGTAAGAAAATTAAAGCCTGGCGTGGCCACGTGTGGTTTTGCTGCCAATCACGAGCGATTTCATTTGTTTGAGAATAGTGGTTTCAGCCAATACTGAGAAGGTTATTCAAGCCAGACCTGGCCAGCCGCGCGGGTTTGCTGCATTCATATGCTAATTAGGGTCATTAGTACAGCTGATCGCTCTCCACATACGTCAGAGTCCGTTTCCGACAATTTGTGGCACGACAAACGCGGACAAGCACGGGTTGCAAATTGTCGGAAACTGACGAAAATCAGGCAGATCTGCGGGGGTTTACGGGGACGAAAATCTCACTTTTCATGCAGTGTTGATATTTTGTACTTTATTTTTAAAGAATGATATATGTAAAATAAATAAAATGTAAAAAGTAAATTGTTCTAGAAGTGTTTTATTGAGTCTCCTTGCAGACCAGTTCTTCAGGTGCACATGCTTTCTTGGTAATACAAAGGGTTTGTTCTATATTTGCAAGGATGAGTGTCAGTGGGTTACTATCACCACTTTCACATTTTAGTAAAAGAAACCACCAATAGTATTCAAATATGAACTGTATCAAGCGTAGATATAACTGGGAGGAAGATTAGTGTGAGGGTGAATACAGAGGTCAATTAAAAGCTGACCAGTTAAGGCAACGGCAAACCTCAACCACAACTACAGCACCAGGAATTGTTAAAAATCAATATGCATGTAATTACCAGATAAGACGGATCATAAAGCACTAAAATGAAATATATCACACTCACCATAGATGCTGATTATTTATAAACAAAATCCATCCTTCTGTCTTTACGGAGGATGATATATCTCCTTTTAGTATCAGCCATTGAGGCCAGAAAACTTTTTAAAAACCAAATCTAAAATGCAGATTTTTGCTAGCTTAAATTGGCTGTAAACATTTTGCTCTAATGGACCAAACAAAGGAGAGAAAATGGTGACGTAGGGGTGGGCCCTGTAGCTGTCCCTATGGGGAATATCCAAAATCTGATTGGTTGAAGAAAACATTCCTCTCATATTAAGATCACCAGATCTGATCCAAAAGAGAAAATCCTGTTGGACGAGGTCGTAGCATTTAGCTCTCATTGAAAGTCAATGGGAATAATCACACCTAACACGATTTTGCACAAGGCGGCTTACATGGCTCCACTGAGAAAGACCCTACGTCTATTTTAGTTGGACTACACAGCAATTTAGCCGCCATTTCATCGGTCTGACACCAAGAGAGACGAGGTTACAAAGTACAACACATCAGCTTTGGGGGAAAATACAAATTCAAAAAAATCTGTTAATTGCACAGGAAAAAGGTCAATTTTTTGAGTCGCACATCACGTATATAGTAAGCGGGACAGACTTGTGCAAAACAATGAATAATACATTACAAAATAATACTTCTTTCACAATAATTCAGCAGGACAGAGAACTGATAAAGCAGTGATCCTGTTTGAGCCTAGCAAAAACCCAGAGGGATACAAAGCACAGTTTATTAATCTTATTAAAAAAAAGAGCTCAAGGAGGAGAAAAACAGATTTAATAAAATAGAGATCCTCTTTGAGCCTCACAAAAAAGAAATAACCAGGGGCAGACGGAGCAGGTAAGCGCAGCATATCTCTCTCACCTCTTAAAAAACAAAAAAGAAAAACTTTGATAAACTTCTCAGTTCTCTCTGAGAATCACCTCTCTCTGCCTCAGACAGCATATCAACCGCCTCAGACAGTTTATTGCTGTGTTGTTCTTTTTTTTAGATGTAGATCTCTTTATGTTTTTAATCTATCTGTTCTTTTTTGAGATGCTGCACAGACTCGTTAAGTGGGGCTTTGGTTTATAGAAAGTGCTGTTTTTCTTTTTTTACTTTAAAAAACAACAATTTATTAATCATTTTTCATAATCTCTCCAAGTCAGATGTCGGAAATTGTACAGCACAGAGACAGAAATGAAAAATAAAATTGTTCAGATCTGCTCACCCTGCTTATTTGAGGCCTCTCTATACACAGTCAGTGGCCTTTAGGGTATTGTTTGGTAGATTGTTTTTACAAATTAATGCAGTTGGATAGAAGAAAAATAAAGGCTTAGGTTATAAATGTAGGCTACATATCTATGGTTGGAGGGATCTGCGCACTCAGAGTGAACCCTCCTTGTACAGTGGAACTGTTTGATGAAAACAAGCAATGCTGAGAACTGCTCCACCATGCAGCCCAATAGTATTTGGTATTGAGCAATGGGTTGGCTTTTTGATAATAACTGAAACAACTTTTTTTTTATTTCTTTTAATGGTTTTGTTTGTTGGATTTATAAAACTTTTGATGTTTTTTTTTGTTGCTATACGGTTTTCTACCAGGGTGGGGGGAGCCGGAGTGCCCGGAGAGAACCCACACTCAAAGCCCTAATTAATATGTAAAGGGCTTTGAGTTTGCTTTTTTGAGAGGAGTGTAATTATATATATATATTATATATTTTTATGTATATATATATATATATATATATATATATATATATATATATATATATATATATATATATGAATATATAAAAAAAACAAAAAAAAATAAAATAAAAACAAAAAAATATAAAAATATGTATATAAAAACATTAGATTAGTTAAGAACCCTTGTCATTACTGCAAGTCCTCCATTGGTGCAACCTTATTTTTCTTTTTAAAGCAAATATTCCACCACCTTCTGATTCGACAACAAGATCTCTCAATGCAGTCGTTAAGTATAGGGAAAAAGGTGGTTGAATAAGCTTCACTTGGATTTACTGTCTCAGGATCTTTTGCTGTCCCATATACCTGAGAGGAGCTCTTAAGCAGCACATGTTTTGCAAGGTCTTCAAAGATGAGTTCTATGACAGTAATCATTGTTTCTCTGATGGTATCCAGTTGCTGGTAAACTGCAGCAGGAATATTTGCCAATGGTTTTTCGATAAAATTGTCAAAGGTTCTTACCAGTTCATTAATCACTACTTGCTTAAGGAGATCCAATTGCTCTGCTGGCATAGATGCAATTTTGTTGTAAACATCCATATCCATTTGAATACCCTTCTTAAGCAGCATAAGTTTGCCTTTTGTAAAGTCTTCAAAGAGGAGTTCTATGAGAGAAATCATTATTTCTCTGATGGTATCCAATTGCTTGTAGACCTCAGCAGGAATATTTGCCATGGGTTTTTTGGTAAAATTGTCAAAGGTTCTTACCAGTTCACTAATCGTTGTTTGTTTAAAGAGATCAAATTGCGCAGCTGGCATAGATGCAGTTTTGCTGTAGACAGCCAGTGTTGGGCACGTTACTTTGAAAAAGTAATTAGTTATAGTTACTAGTTACTTCTCCCAAAAAGTAACTGAGTTACTAACTGAGTTACTCCACAATAAAAGTAACTAGTTACTAGTAAAAGTAACTATTGCGTTACTTTTGCGTTTACGTTCGCTCTATTCAGCTGGCTTTCCAAAGCCAGCTGAATAGAGCGAACGACAAAGACAAGAACCTGCAGAGAGTTTTGCATTTATTGCAACTCAACGTAAATGACATCAGGGGGGAACGCGATGTGAAGTTTTATAACAGGGCATTCAGATCTGGTGAGTATATGGAATTAATAACTGGGGATGTCTAATTCTGAAATCCTGTGTACTGCAACATCTATCTATCTATCTATCTATCTATCTATCTATCTATCTATCTATCTATCTATCTATCTATCTATCTATCTATCTATCTATCTATCTATCTATCTATCTATCTATCTATCTATCTATCTATCTATCTATCTATCTATCTATCTATCTATCTATCTATACTCTGTGTGTGACATAAAATATGGATCTCCATCCCTGCCACAAAGGCCATCAAATAATGTTTAAAATAAAAAATACAGTAGGTTGAGAAGGCAGAGTATCCATCCATCCATCCATCCGTCCATCCATCCATCCATCCATCCATCCATATTTCTCCCTTTCTCCATATAGGCTATCATTTGATCGTTCACGTTCTCCATAGTTCTCCTGTGGCGCGAGCACAGGGCGACTGTTGCGCGCCTTTAGCGAGCATGCGCGTTTCCTGTCGCGTGTGCGGTGATTCGTGCCGCCTGCGCTGTGCGGAGATGCAGGGGAAACCGTATGTGATGGGGAAACGCAGCTCGACCTAACGCCGGTATTTCCATGTGGAAAACGCTGTTTTGCTGCTGAAGTCATCCTCACTCTCCATCTCTCTGTGTATCTGTACGTTAACACCCACCAGCGGAGACACCCGCCTACCCAACTGACAGACGGAATCTCACTATACATCAGCCTTTCTCATCCTCCCCTCTCTCATGACAAGGCGCGCACCTCTGGATGACCTAAAAATAATCTTTAATATCTCTTAAACAAAAGTAGCACAAACAATATTTTTTTCTGCACAAATCTTCACTAACGTTGCACTAACCATTCAGTCTATTTGCAGAGTTTTTTGACGTGGGTGGGGTGTCAGCTTCACGCAGCTGCGCACGAGTCCTATCATGAAAAAAGGTTCATTGTGCGACCTGAGTAACGCGCAGTAACGGGGTGTCTGCAATGGTAACTGCGTTATAGTTACAGTCAAAGTAATTAGTTAGATTACTCGTTACTAAAACAAGGTAACGGCGTTAGTAACGTCGTTACTTTCAACGCCGTTAGTCCCATCACTGTAGACAGCCATATCCATTTGATTGCGCTTCTGTCCAGTATGCTCTCCTTTTATGGGTAAGGCCATCTTACTTATAGGTCTAAACTCTGTTTTAATCTCCTCTGGTTGAAATCCTCCAGTTTCTGCCTCACACATTGATTTTGTACTGAAAGAACTGAGGTCTGATTCTGCTGCAGCTGATTTTGTGCTATTCTCTTCAGACTGTGGTGAGGGCACATTGCAAGGTTTCACTTTAATAAGTGTGCCAAGTGTCTTGGTCTTGATTAATTTCCCTTCATCTCCACTTTGTTCTGATGAATCCACATCCAGAGGACAGAGTTTGGATATTAATTGGTCTGATGCGGTGTAATTCAACTCTTTAGTAGTTGGGGAAGGCATGCCACTTGCCATCTCAGTAAGTTTAACCACAGTTTGGATCTCCTCTGGTACCAGTCGTCCAATTTCATCCTCACGCCTTGAATTTGTTTTGAAAGACCTGAGGTCAGATACTGTGGCAGCCGATGTTGTGCTATTCAGTTCATTCTGTGGTGAGGGCACATTGCAAGGTTTCACTTGAATCAGTGTGCCCAGTGTCTTGGTCTTATTCAGCTTTGAAGCTGTTGGTAAAATAGATGTTGCTTGGGAACTTGACTGAGGGGATATTTCTGGAATACCTGACTGTCCAAATGTCTCAGAAGTGTCATCCCCATTACTTTGGTAGAAAGTATGATCTACCTCAGACCCTGTGATGAGTTCCTCATTGGCAGGTAATATTTCAGCACATTCATCTCGTGTTGTGGAATTATCTTGGGAACTTAATTCAAGTGATGAATTTAAAGATTCGCTTGTACTGCTTCTGTACGATGTCAAATCTTCTGAGTCATTTTTTCCTTTTTGCGTTCCTTTTTCAAGAGCTATGTTTTTTCTGCTCCCCTTAAAGATATGTTCCCTCCTTTGAAAGGTTTTAGAGGGTTTGCATTTTGATTTCTTAACTTTTGTATCTGGTGAGTTTGTGTCCGGGGTAGATGAAGATTCTCCTTGTGAAATTTTTGGATCCTTTGGTAATACAAAATGACGTGTCTTTACTAGACGTTTGTGCCTTGGTCCACTGCAATCCGATTCAGAAGATTCCTTATGAGATGTGTTTTCACCTGAGTCCTTAGCTTCAGTTGAATCTGTCAAAGAAGAATCTTCTTGAACTCCACACAGTAGATCAGAGGAAGGTTTTTTAGTCTCCTCCAATTTGAATTCATCCATTCGACCCTTGCTAATCATCTCTAAATTAACAGGGCAGACATCACTTAAAACAGCAGATGGACTTGAAGATATTTCTGGAATACCTGACTCTCCAAATGTCTCAGAAGTGTCATGCCCATTACTTTGGTTGAAAGTATGGTCTATCTCACACTCTGTGATGATTTCCTCATTAGCAGGTAATATTTCAGCACATTCATCTTGTATTGTGGAATTATCTTGGGAACTTAATTCAAGTGATGACTGGAAAGATACAATTGTACTGCTTCTGTACGATGTCACATCTTCTGAGTCATTTTTTCTTTTTTGCGTTCCTTTTTCAAGAACTATGTTTTTTGTACTGTCCTTAAATACAGATGTCATCCTTTGAAAGAAGGCTTTAAAGGGTTTGCGTTTGGATTTCTTAACTTTTGTATCTGGGGAGTTTGTGTCTGGGGTAGATGATTCTCCTTGTGAAATTTTTGGATCCTTTGGTAATACAAAATGACGTGTCTTTACTAGACGTTTGTGCCTTGGTCCATTGCAATCCGATTCAGAAGATTCCTTATGAGATGTGCTTTCACCTGCGTCCATAGCTTCAGTTGAATCTGTCAAAGAAGAATCTTCTTGAACTCCACACAGTAGATCAGAGGAAGGTTTTTTAGTCTCCTCCAATTTGAATTCATCCATTCGACCCTTGCTAATCATCTCTAAATTAACAGGGCAGACATCACTTAAAACAGCAGATGGACTTGAAGATATTTCTGGAATACCTGACTCTCCAAATGTCTCAGAAGTGTCATGCCCATTACTTTGGTTGAAAGTATGGTCTATCTCACACTCTGTGATGATTTCCTCATTAGGAGGTAATATTTCAGCACATTCATCTTGTATTGTGGAATTATCTTGGGAACTTAATTCAAGTGATGACTGGAAAGATACAATTGTACTGCTTCTGTACGATGTCACATCTTCTGAGTCATTTTTTCCTTTTTGCGTTCCTTTTTCAAGAGCTATGTTTTTTCTGCTCCCCTTAAAGATATGTTCTCTCCTTTGAAAGGTTTTAGAGGGTTTGCATTTTGATTTCCTAACTTTTGTATCTGGTGAGTTTGTGTCTGGTGTAGATGAAGATTCTCCTTGTGAAATTTTTGGATCCTTTGGTAATACAAAATGACGTGTCTTTACTAGACATTTGTGCCTTGGTCCACTGCAATCCAATTCAGAAGATTCTTTATGAGATGTGCTTTCACCTGCGTCCGTAGCTTCAGTTGAATCTGTCAAAGAAGAATCTTCTTGAACTCCACACATTAGATCAGGGGAAGGTTTTTTAGTCTCCTTTAATTTGAATTCATCCATTCCAACCTTGCTAATCATCTCTAAATTAACAGGGCAGACATCACTTAAAAAGGCAGATGGACTTGGAGATGTTTCTTCAATAGTTGACTTCCCAAATGAATCAGAACTTAACTCAAGTGATGAATTTAATGATTCACTTGTACTGCTTCTGTACGATGTCAAATCTTCTGAGTCATTTTCTCCTTTTTGCGTTCCTTTTTCAAGAGCTATGTTTTTTCTGCTCCCCATAAAGATATGTTCCCTCCTTTGAAAGGTTTTAGAGGGTTTGCATTTTGATTTCTTAACTTTTGTATCTGGTGAGTTTGTGTCTGGGGTAGATGAAGATTCTCCTTGTGAAATTTTTGGATCCTTTGGTAATACAAAATGATGTGTCTTTACTAGACGTTTGTGCCTTGGTCCACTGCAATCCGATTCAGAAGATTCCTTATGAGATGTGTTTTCACCTGAGTCCTTAGCTTCAGTTGAATCTGTCAAAGAAGAATCTTCTTGAACTCCACACAGTAGATCAGAGGAAGGTTTAGTCTCCTCCAATTTGAATTCATCCATTCGACCCTTGCTAATCATCTCTAAATTAACAGGGCAGACATCACTTAAAACAGCAGATGGACTTGAAGATATTTCTGGAATACCTGACTCTCCAAATGTCTCAGAAGTGTCATGCCCATTACTTTGGTTGAAAGTATGGTCTATCTCACACTCTGTGATGATTTCCTCATTAGCAGGTAATATTTCAGCACATTCATCTTGTATTGTGGAATTATCTTGGGAACTTAATTCAAGTGATGACTGGAAAGATACAATTGTACTGCTTCTGTACGATGTCACATCTTCTGAGTCATTTTTTCCTTTTTGCTTTCCTTTTTCAAGAGCTATGTTTTTTCTGCTCCCCTTAAAGATATGTTCTCTCCTTTGAAAGGTTTTAGAGGGTTTGCATTTTGATTTCTTAACTTTTGTATCTGGTGAGTTTGTGTCTGGGGTAGATGAAGATTCTCCTTGTGAAATTTTTGGATCCTTTGGTAATACAAAATGACGTGTCTTTACTAGACGTTTGTGCCTTGGTCCACTGCAATCCAATTCAGAAGATTCTTTATGAGATGTGCTTTCACCTGCGTCCATAGCTTCAGTTGAATCTGTCAAAGAAGAATCTTCTTGAACTCCACACATTAGATCAGGGGAAGGTTTTTTAGTCTCCTTTAATTTGGATTCATCCATTCCAACCTTGCTAATCATCTCTAAATTAACAGGGCAGACATCACTTAAAAAGGCAGATGGACTTGGAGATGTTTCTTCAATAGTTGACTTCCCAAATGAATCAGAACTTAACTCAAGTGATGAATTTAATGATTCACTTGTACTGCTTCTGTATCTGTACGATGTCAAATCTTCTGAGTCATTTTCTCCTTTTTGCGTTCCTTTTTCAAGAGCTATGTTTTTTCTGGTCCCCATAAAGATACACTATATTGCCAAAAGTATTTGCTCACCCATCCAAATTATTGGAATCAGGTGTTCCAATCACTTCCATGGCCACAGGTGTATAAATTCAAGCACCTAGGCATGCAGACTGTTTTTACAAACATTTGTGAAAGAATGGGTCGCTCTCAGAAGCTCAGTGAATTCCAGCGTGGAACTGTGATAGGATGCCACCTGTGCAACAAATCCAGTCGTGAAATTTCCTCGCTCCTAAATATTCCACAGTCAACTGTCAGCTGTATTATAAGAAAATGGAAGTGTTTGGGAACGACAGCAACTCAGCCACGAAGAGGTAGGCCACGTAAACTGACGGAGCGGGGTCAGCGGATGCTGACGCGCATAGTGCGAAGAGGTCGCCAACTTTCTGCAGAGTCAATCACTACAGACCTCCAAACTTCATGTGGCCTTCAGATTAGCTCAAGAACAGTGCGCAGAGAGCTTCATGGAATGGGTTTCCATGGTCGAGCAGCTGCATCCAAGCCATACATCACCAAGTGCAATGCAAAGCGTCGGATGCGGTGGTGTAAAGCACGCCGCCACTGGACTCTAGAGCAGTGGAGACGCGTTCTCTGGAGTGACGAATCGCGCTTCTCCATCTGGCAATCTGATGGACGGGTCTGGGTTTGGCGGTTGCCAGGAGAACGGTACTTGTCTGACTGCATTGTGCCAAGTGTAAAGTTTGGTGGAGGGGGGATTATGGTGTGAGGTTGTTTTTCAGGAGCTGGGCTTGGCCCCTTAGTTCCAGTGAAAGGAACTCTGAATGCTTCAGCATACCAAGACATTTTGGACAATTCCATGCTCCCAACTTTGTGGGAACAGTTTGGAGCTGGCCCCTTCCTCTTCCAACATGACTGTGCACCAGTGCACAAAGCAAGGTCCATAAAGACATGGATGACAGAGTCTGGTGTGGATGAACTTGACTGGCCTGCACAGAGTCCTGACCTCAACCCGATAGAACACCTTTGGGATGAATTAGAGCGGAGACTGAGAGCCAGGCCTTCTCGTCCAACATCAGTGTGCGACCTCACAAATGCGCTTCTGGAAGAATGGTCAAAAATTCCCATAAACACACTCCTAAACCTTGTGGACAGCCTTCCCAGAAGAGTTGAAGCTGTTCTAGCTGCAAAGGGTGGACCGACGTCATATTGAACCCTATGGATTAGGAACGGGATGTCACTTAAGCTCATATGTGAGTCAAGGCAGGTGAGCAAATACTTTTGGCAATATAGTGTATGTTCCCTCCTTTGAAAGGTTTTAGAGGGTTTGCATTTTGATTTCTTAACTTTTGTATCTGGTGAGTTTGTGTCTGGGGTAGATGAAGATTCTCCTTGTGAAATTTTTGGATCCTTTTGTAATACAAAGTGATGTGTCTTCATAAGACGTTTGTGCCTTGGTCCACTGCAATCCAATTCAGAAGATTCCTTATGAGATGTGTTGTCACTTTCTGAGTTCGTAATTTCATTTGAATCTGTCAAAGAAAACTCCTCTTGATCAGTAAAGTCAAAGAAGGTTTTAGAGGATTTGTTGTTTTTTTCAGGCATTGCTAAGATGGTTAAAAATTTAAAAAAAAAACTCCTTTCTTCAAGCTTCTAAGATCTGTTCACACCGACTTCCGGTCTGTATGTGTATGGTCCAACAGTTTAAATTTTAGAATGCAAGTCTGTGGGTGGAGTTCTTTAACTGTCAGAGTTCTGAATTTAGAATGCAAGTCTCTGGGCGGAGTTCTTTAACTGTCAGACTTTTAAATTTAGAATGCAAGTCTATGGGTGGAGTTCTTTAACTGTCAGAGTTCTAAATTTAGAATTCAAGTCTGTGGGCGGAGTTCTTTAACTGTCAGAGTTCTGAATTTAGAATGCAAGTCTCTGGGCGGAGTTCTTTAACTGTCAGACTTTTAAATTTAGAATGCAAGTCTGTGGGCGGAGTTCTTTAACTGTCAGAGTTCTAAATTTAGAATGCAAGTCTGTGGGCGGAGTTCTTTAACTGTCGGAGTTCTAAATTTAGAATGCAAGTCTGTGGGCGGAGTTCTTTAACTGTCAGAGTGTGTGCTCTAGCTTTAAAGCCGTTCTGGTTTTTCCTAACAAAGTCTTCTCACTCCCTAATTTTTCACTCAATTTAAATAAACTATACATCAAAACGTATTAATTTTTCAGGAAATGTAACCCTAATTTGTGTGGGATTTACAGTTTTCCTGCAGTTTGGCCCAGACCACGATGAAGTCACACTCCCCCCCAATAGAAATCCAATGAGAGTTTCCAAAATTCACAGCCGAAAATCCAAAACAACAAATGTTTTCATATCGTTGCCACTTCTCAACTATTTGATGTACAAACACAAAATTATGTAAAGAACATTTTTAGACCCTTCTATCGCTCAACACATACTTTTATCCATTTTTCAAATTTTGCCAAATTTCCTCTTTTTTCACAGAGTGCTGTGTCTTTTCAAAAACATTTTGAACAAAAAAAGCTTCTTTCCCCAATCCATCCTGAATTAAACAATTCAAGAATCATATCGACACACCTTGTTATGCCAGAGTTATAGGCATTTGTTCTGCAGGACATCATACAGGCAATTAAGCTAGAAAGCAATGCCAGAGGGTAGCTTAACAACACCTCACTGCCACTCTCAAACTGTTTGATGTACAAACATGAAACTTTGGAGATATCATCATCAGGCACTTTTAGCACTCACTTTGAAGGAATTTTTTGATATCATGTATGGTTGGGCCGTGCAGCTAGTTTGTTCGGGGGCGCTAAATTTCCAGCTGAAATCTTTCAAACTGACCCCCTTTATTACATTGTTACCATGGCAACATAATTTTAAATATGAAAGTTGTTAAATTTGATCATTAACGCCTGCTGATTCATACAGTCTAGAAATGATTTCTGTATTTATGATGGTTCTAGATCTATTAACCATAGTTCAACACAAACTTGTACAAATTTTTGCCAATTTTCCTCCTTTTTCACAGAGTGCT